CAAAGTCTCCGAGGCGCTGTCCTCCCTTCCGTCATCGAGTCGCCCGACTCCATGGCGCCAACTTGACTACCCAGCCTCTAACTCTCTGACCGGCTGACCGGGCGGGGCTGAGTGGTCTTCAAGACTGACTTTTCGAGTCTCCGGCAGGCAGGAAGGCAGGCAATTCCGGCCGGAAATATGACGACCCAACAGTGAGTGATTTGGCCTCGCCTCGGTACCAAACGTCTCGAGAAGTGTGTTGAGTAGATTGACAACTCGCCTCAGTACGCTCGGACGCGACAGGCCGCGACCTGGCGACAGGGAAGATGAGAAGGCAGTGCGGCAACGGAACACACAGTATTGGCGGGGAGAGAGCACGTGATAGAGAAGTAAAGTCGGCATAGGAGGAGGAGAGAGAGGCAAACTGGGAGTGAGAGTGACCGAGTGACTTGTCGGCGTGGAGACGGGTGGCTGGAGGAAATGATGACTTTTGGCGCCCGGGGCTAAAATCCTGCTGTTTTCGACCTCAGAGCCTGGCTTCCACAAATACACACAGACAAGCACGTACACAATCACACACACGACCGGGTTTGGCCTCAAACTTGGCCCAAACATGAAAGGCTGCGGAGAGGTAGGAAGGTGTGGCGGAGCCCACTCAGCCGGTCCGGCGTCAGAGGCGGCTGGCCGACGAGGAGTTGCGATGGGACAGACGTGCCAGATGGTGCCGAGGTGAGCTGGAAGGGGTAGAGATCGGAAGTTGACAAGAGATTCTGGAGGGATCCGAGATCCTCTCGTCTCCGGTCGGCAGCAGAACGACAGTTCGTATGGCCGGTTGGCGCTAGGGCCATGGGAAATGGGCAAATGAGAGGGAGAGGGCATGGGTGCCTCAGCGACATGAACAGGGCTTCATCTACTCGGATGGATTTCCGCCCAGCGACAGAAGCGTCCTAACCGGTAACTGGGGCCAGAATTTAGTCGCTTCTGACAGACTGTAATTGAGTCATTGGAACATGCAATGATTACGAGTATGCGCGATAGTCAAATCTCATTGCTGCAAGAGACAAGATCTTCAAAGGAGGCGGCTTTGAGCCGAGCAGTACTGCACATGCGTTGGAGCAAGATTTAGATCCAAGGACAGATTAGCGGTGGTGACAAGACGACGAGAATAACGGAAGTCGACTCAAAAGTGTTGGTTGAAAGAACAAAATGAAGCAGACGCAGATCGTCTGCAACAAGAGCACAAAATTGCTCGGAATCGCCTCGAAAAGTGTCTCGGCATGGCAACAATCCTACGGAGCTACAATCTTCTATGAAGAAGGAATTGTCCTCGCGGTGGCGGAAGCGGCGACAGAACATCTCCGGACGGAGCTATGCGAGGTTCAGCAAAGTTTCGTCGTTGTGATGATGCTAAGTTGCTCTGATGATGTTCGTCACATGACACAATAAGGCTTAGCACCTTTTCACCGGAAT